TATTGTAGTTGTAAATTCCCCTGAAAAATCCCCAAAAAACTAGGAAAGACAGATCAGGTTCGACCCGTCCGTTAACTGTTAAAAATAATATTGGTTCAAGTCACCAATTATACTTTTGATTTTTGGTTTTTGTACCTACCTGAATATTTTCATATACAGCATATTTTTCTTAAAAACTGAAAAGTAAATTTTTCCCATCCAAAAAAATTGAAAAGTAGAATTTAAAAAGCTGAAAAGTAGAAAAATAAAATGTTCACGTTTTTTTGTATGAAATTCTAAGTCTACAAAGTAGTTGCTGATAATGCTTAGAAAAAACTGATAATTTTTTTTAATTGTAATAAGATAGGTTTTAAATTTCATTAAATTAATAATTAAATACATATGCACATAATACTAAGCACGAGAAACCAATGTCTTTTATTAGTTAAAGTTGATGGGTTAACAAGTGATATGCGGACCAAAAATTACCATGCACATACATATATATCTACGTGTTAATAATTTTAAACAATAATGTTATGGCAAAATTTTTGTTGCAGTAATTACAGGTTCTATGCGTTGCTTGCCCGGCGGCTCACGGAAATGTCCCACGGAATTGCTTCAATAATCTGGAGAAACCGATTGTGAACAAGGGAGTTACTCTTGGAGTTACTCTTATGTGGCCATACAGGAATCCCTGGCAATGAAGAGGCCGATCATCTGGCGAAGGTGGGGGCAAATGCCTCCTTCATTGGACCTGGTACAAGCATGGGCGATTCTATAGGGCGCTTTGACCAGGTTGTGACTGCCCGTGTGGAAAGGCGTGCATCGGGGTTGTCGTGGTCCAAAGACTTCTTTGGTCGATGGATCGCGGGTATTTCTGACATTGTGGGGCGGAACCGCTCTACACTGAGGGTTCTATCGTGGTTTTACCCTCATGTCCTATTTGAGTGTAATGGCTTGGCCCGCTTTAGATACAGATTTCTCGGGGCCTTGAACTTGGATTCTCATGAGTCGTTGTGCATGACGGAGCTGTTAAAATTTATCGGGAGCCTGAATCTTGAGTTCTAATGATCTGGCGCGGGGATGCACAAAAGACCTGTATCATCAAGGTGTTGATTGAATTCGCCCCATACGTAATGTAACATAACATTATATACATTACATGAGACTTCCAAATTTAAAAGAAAAATATACATATACAAAATTACATATGCACACATATGATTATTAATGTAGTTCTTTAAGTTAAAGAATTTCGTAAGTGTCGCAATTCTTCGGGTGCGAAAAAAATAATTTTTTTATTTGTTTATGTATTTTATTTTTTTATTAATATGTAAATAAATGATTTTTCAAATAATATAAAAAGTATGTATATAAATTTTATTGCAGAATCCTACCTTTTATTAACTATGTGAGTAACTCTAATTAAGTAGCTGGTAGCTTATCACAATATCTTATCTTTGCTTTGAATAAAACTAGATTTTTCTTTGTTCATCTCATCATATTAAAACAAAAATTAGATCAGTTAAATAAGTGATCTTTGAAGGAAAATAATACTTTTGACGATGTTGCCGGAAAAAGTGATATTTTAATATATTAAAAAACTATGATGTTTCTTTATAACTTTATAATTGGTAAAAATTATTTCTAGATCTATACTTGTTATTTACCTGTGTTTGAATTTTAACTTAATCAATGAGAGACACATAATTGATTTTTAAAATTTTAAAAAAGTCAAAAAGTTTTAAAAAGTTCAGCAAAATACATACATAGAAGTAGAATTTGATATGAACTCATTTTTATTCACAATAAGAGTAAAAGAAGGTTTGATTTTTGTTATTATTTTTTAATATCATTATTTTAGACTTACATAATGTAGTGTAAAAGCAACTACATACATAATATGTAAAATACACTCAAAAATTGAGAATTAATTGTAAATATTTACATCATATATTAACTTTTAAAAGTTTTTATTATTTGTCACCTTATGCGAAACACCCTGCATATATTCAAACTTTTAAGTTAAAAAATTTCTAATTTTTTTACGGAAAAGGTAAATAGAGAATATAATGGAGGACGTAAATTTTGTATTTCGCAAAAAAAAAAAAAAAAAAAAGAATTTAGAATAAAGCCACATACAGCTATTCTGGCAATATATTATTAAAAGCAAATACAATGCTCTTTTTACTTTACTAACATTTTTAAAATTAATATTCTATAATCAGATGCTTTTTTATAAAAAATTTTTTTACATTTGTTGTAAAAATTTTATTTTTGTTCGTTTTCAGCATAAAATCTCTAGAATTATTTTCAAAATTTTCGATACCAATTTAGCAGATTCAAATTCTTTTAAATTGAATTAACATTTCACAGTTTATTTCAATTATTTCTATTTAATATGCAATGGAAACACTCCCGAAATGAATTCAAAAAGTGATACATATGTACATATGTTCACTATAAACTTTTGTAGTATTTTGTTTTAAGTCCTCTATCAATAATTTTGTGAAAAATTTGAAACAGTTACAAAAACAGGACTTTATGGTCAATAAATTTTTTATTTATTCAAATTTGAAATATCAAGTGAGTGAAATAAACATAAGAATTAAATAATATAAGTATTATTAAATTTAAATATTTAACATCCCACATAGTGGAATTAAAATATTTGAATGGTTGTTTTCATTCTTTTTCGGTCTTATGTACTATATAATTTTTTGGATGCATTACGACTATAAATAATTTTAATGGAATGCGTATATGATAGATTCTTTGATTGAATATTTTTGCCAAAATTTTTTATTTGTTAAAAATTTTTGTGCTCATTTATTAGTCAAAACTTATTACGAGTATAACTCGTCAGAGCGATAACAATCTAAATTTCATGATGTAAATGCAATAGCATAATAAATTTTTAATAAATTTTTATTTTAAATAGAAAAATGTAATTATATATAAAATATTGTAAAACATTAAAATGTGCTTTTGTCTCGTGCCAATAGATACGTGAGTTTTTTTTAATTTCAAACTTAATATTTTAACGAAAATTATTAATTTCATAAATATATTTAAAAATATCACGTTCTGAAGTTACTGTAAATTAAAAACATATACAAATATTTTTTTGCTTTATTTTAAAACTTTAAGCGTTTTAGCCAGTTTAAAATACAGATTTTTGAAATCATTAAATTAATTTCAATATAAAAAAATTTAAGAGACTTAAGGTAATTTAAAATTAATTCAGTTATTGATTCTCATTGAATTCTTCTCACATAAAAATTTTCGGAATTTCATACTTTATTAATTTGCATGTTGGTACTAAGGAGTACCCAAATACGTCATAATTGAATTATAAACCTCAATTGTCAGAAATTAATTTTTGCACAAATTAAGAGTAAGCATGGGACATAGTAAAGTACTTACTCATCACCTGAAGTATTTCAATAGCCCATTCAGAAAGTGGAAAAAAATTCAAGTGGCGAAATTCGTAAAGTGGAAAAAATATTACACTTGTTTTTATAAATTTATACAAATAGGATTGTTTTTAACGAAAATTATTTAGGAACGTCATTCTACAATTGATATGAAATTATAGTTTAATGAGCATTTTCAACATTGTTTTTTTGGATTTATGACGCATAAATTATGATTAAATCTTATTTTTCGATAAGATTTAATAAAACAAATAAATTGTTTTCGGGAAAAACTAAATAACTTCTTTGCTTACATAATACATACCTAGTCTCCTTTTGAAAATAATTTCTTGTACGCTGCTTATCGCGCCTCAAGTATAAGAGCTTCTCAAATTTCTTGTACATTGCTTATCGCGCCTCAAGTATTAGAGCTTTTTATTGAATAAATTCAATTATTAAAATATTACACCAAGTTTTATGAAATTATTTTTAGGATAAATTTTTAAACACGTTACTGAACAAAACTTGTAAGGTTTTCGAAAAATTTTCAAATAAATGTTAGTAAAAATTTTAAACCCCTTCTGAAGACGATCTTTAGAACTTCGGACCGTGCAGTCATATTGGATTAACTATTTTTCTTTGTGTAACATACGTCGTGGTTAGTCGAATACAACTCATATACATATATACGTTTTATATCCGTTTATAGTGTTATCGAAAATATCGTATTTGAAAACTGAATTTTCTATATGAATGTATGTATTCGTCTTATTTAACATAGAATGAGTTATTTTTTTATTATTGTTAAAAAATTATTGAATGTTGGGAAATTTTTAAATTTTTTAGTTTTTTTCAGTTTACATCTTCACCTGTTAATGAAAAAAAAAGATAATTTGTATGTCTCCGTTATCTAATATAATTCCACCTTGAAATTTGTTAGTCCTATTTGATTCACTTTTGAATTGCTAAGCATTATATTTCTTTTTATTACCTTAACCCATTATAACTGCAGTATTTCGACAACTGTATATTTGAATTATTTAATTAATAAAAAAGTCAGTTTCAATAAATAATTAAATCACACAATTAATAATTAAATCATATTCGATGTCCTTATTAATCATATTCGGTTTATAAAATTTTATTTAACATATTCTTCCATAAAAATATTTTATTTCGCTTAAAGATACATTAATAAACAAAAATTAAATGAAAAATATAAAAAACCTGATTCTTTCATAAATTTAAAAATATCACAGTTTCCGTATTTTTCTTATGTACACGGGCTCAAACAATGAATATGATAATTTTTTTCTCATTTTATTTATTTCTTAATTTCAACCACGGTTGCAATTTTTTGAATAAAAAGTAATTTTAGGTCAATCTCATTAGAACGCATGTTTAAAGTAACACAAATGTGAGTTAGTTATTGTAGTAAAGGTTTTACGATTTGAATACTTGAAGTAATGCCATATATATCTATCCGGGCATCCTTATTCTGAAAATTTTTGGAATAATTGGTTAGTTATAACGTTCTTCAAGCATTTTTTTTAAAACTACAGAAAAAATTAATTTCTTTTTTTTTCGTGTATTAGAAAGCGCTTAAAATTTTAAGCAATACTGCTTTCATAACTTTTTTTTTATCAAAAATGTAGATACCATGATCTGATAGAAAACCCTAGATTTATTCTTTCTATGGCATATTTTCGACAAAAGAGCACATCAAAAAATGCAACGAAAAAATCGGATGAAGGTATGCAAATTTTTGTTTACATTTTTTTTTTATCTTTACATTTTCTTTTCTATTTTCTTTATTTATCTTTTATTATAAATTTTTTTTCTCTGTTAAAAGTTTTTTGTCTTTCTTTTTCTTTTCCTTTTAGATTATGTTTAATTATTTTGCCGATAGCCAGGTCATTGGTATGAAAAGATAAAAAATACGTATGTATATGAGACAACAAACTGTTTGACGAAAATTAATGAAATGGCGACAAAAAAAATTTTTATGAGTTTTGAAAAGAATTTCTTGATTTCGATTTTCCAGTTTAAACCGCATTTTTTAAACTTAAATACATACATAAATATGAATGTAAATCAATTTAATTTTTAAACATTTAAATATGAATATTGGTACATACATATTTACCTACATACAAATGTGTTATTTAAAATAATCCAAAAAGTGTAATTAAAATAATGAACCAAAAAGAACAGCACTCCCCGAAATCTCAAATCTGTCAAATAAAAAAATAAATTTTTTTGTTGTTTTGCTAATAAAATAATATGAGCGAAAAGTAAAAAAAAGTTAAACCAAAACAGCAGTTTATAGTTTGCCCTTGAAGTTACTTAAGTGTATTTGTGGTTACAAGATTGGTAGATAAAATTATTTTTTAAATTATAAAATATGTATATTAATATTTTAGGGTGTCGAAAAATTTGATTTCAATATATTATTTAAAACGAGTAGACTTACTAGAGGTTTGTTAAATTTGAATCTAAATTTCATTCAGTATTTAATACTTTGAATTGATTTTTCTCAATTTCTAGTTGTTACAGTTTAAATTATTTTAAGATTGAAATACAGAACAATACATTCATTTTGAAGTTCATTGCTCTAAATATGACTAATAATTTAGTTTTAACTTTACATCAACTTTATATTTCAACTCCAAAGTAAATTTACAATAGTTGGATCAATTTCAACATTTGATTAAATTAAATTTAGTCGAAATCGTAAATTCTAACATATTTTTTTCTACTATAATTCTAATATAATTTTGAAAAAAAAATTTGCATTTCATATTTAATAAAAACGAATTAATCAATCCATAAATTACAAATCCTCAAATTATATAAAACAAGCGAAGTTATAAAAAAATAACAAAAAATTTTTGTTCACCCTGTGGATACCTTAAATAATGCGTTTTCTAAAATATTTACCTTTTCTTTATTTTGTTTCTTTTTCTTTTAATCAAAGCTACTTACTAGCCCAGCATTATATTTTTCTCTAAAATTTTAAAGAAACAAAGAAAAATAAATTTGATATGGTCAGCACATAATCGACCGCAATGTGTATTGTCTAGTTAAGTGAAAGTGTTACTGAAAGTTAAAAATGCCTGTTAAATACTTCTTTCTTTTAGGGCATTAGTAAGCTTGTAGTTAACGTGCTTAGAAAAATGTAAATTCGGCTCGTAGTAGAGTTTTGCTTTATGCTACCCGAATTCCCTGAAATGCTTGCCAGTTATTTGCGGTGACAACCAGAACTTAAATATCAAATTTTTTAAATATTAATTTTATAAATATAGTAGAAAATGTAAAATCGGCCTTCAGATCAGTTTCCGAGCCCTGATCTCTCCAAGAAATTTATATGTTCATTGTTTTAAAACGAAGAATTTAAATCTTAACATAAATTTAGATGAAATAAGTTGATTATTTCTCTTTATATACGCTAAAATGTATATTTGGCCCGTAGTAAACGTCCAGTTGCTGACGCCTGATTTCTTCCAAAAGATTCAAAATGTTCAAAAATGTAAACAGGCCTGCTAAAAAGTTCAGTTCCCGAGGCCTTATATATCCCAAAAGTTGATCAATCCGTGTTATAGTCGAAATAAACTTACATATAAAATTTCATTAAAATCAGTTCATCCGATCGATACTTGCGTGCACATACAGATAGACAGATCGACAGACAGACAGGTTGGTAAAAATAGTTTTTTTACACTTTCCTACCATGGAAAAGTGCGTTCCCACCGAAAACTTGATATGCAAAATTTGCTGTCATCACATAACCTACCTATTGTATACACAATGTGATCGGTAAAAATAAAATTTAAGACAGACTTTTGGCAAAGAGAATTATTTTTAATCATAATATATTTGTTATTTTTGTTTTTCTTATTTTATTTTTTTTTAATTAAATTTCTCATCGATGGAAGGTGTTATTTACTTTTAAAATTTATTAAGTTTTAGTAGTTAAAAAATAACCGGAAAGATTAAATGCTCCAAAAATAGTGTTGGAGTATTTAAAAAATAAATTAAAATAAAAAATTAATTTATTTTATTTAAATTTTAATTTCCTTGTAATATTATTTTGGCATATAACGTTTAATTACATATTAAAAATAAGAAAAAATTAAAAATTAATAATGAAAGTTCATCGATTTTTATACATAATTTTTGTTAGAAGTGGAATTATTTAAATATAAAAGTATAATAATAAAAAATAAAGTATTAGATGAAATAAATTAATTTCGGTAAATTGTTATTTTAATATTTTAAAAAATAGATTATATTTAAAAAAAATTTAAAAATTAAAATAAAAAAAAAATTGTAATTTTCAGCTGTAAATTATTTAAATTTATTTTAAAAATATTTTGAGTAATTTTAAATAATTACCGATAACTTTGGATAACCGATATAATTGGATAAAGCGGATAACATCCAATAATAACAAATAACGGAGTAATTTACAAACATAGCGTTTATAAAGCGGTAAATAACATTTTTTAATTTAAAATTCCTACAATTATAATATTTCTTATTTTTTAAGTTATATTTTAAGTTATAGAATTATGTATATACTTGTTAATTTTTCTAAGTTACAAGGTGTTTGTATGAAAACTGACCTAAATAATTTCTGTTAACAAAAAACACTTGTTATTTTTATGTTTTATTATAAATTTTTTTTTAATTTTGTAAAAAAGACTAATAACGTAATTTAGTGAGTTTCTTCATTACAAATTGTTTTAAAACATTAAAAAGGGTACGTGGTTGTGAAATGCGAATTTTAGTCTTTTTATAAATTTTACTAATTTTAAATGATTTTATAATAAATTAAGTTTGGTTGTAATTTATTGAATATATATAGATTAAAACGCAAATTAAAAAAATTTTATAAAATGATCACTAAGCCATTCACTGAATATGATCGTTCAGTTATAAATATTCATCAATTTTTCGATTATTATTTGAAGAAACCAAAAATAAAATCTTAAAAAACGCATACTTAATATTACGAGTATTAGCGGTGTAATAATACGTATCACATTTGCATTTTATAAAGATGAATTTCGTAAATGAACCTTATACTAACCTCAATATTATAAAAATTAATTAATATTTGTTATAATTTTTAAATTTAGTATAGTTTACTATACAAAGTAAACTTTATTTTTTTTAATTAAGCAATTCTTTTATATAATTACAATAAAAAATTTAACTATGTGCTTTAAAATTAAAATAATAATAGTAATAACTTAAACAAAAAAAGAACTTTAGGGATAGTGTAAAAGTATACATGTGACAATAAGGGGAAAGATTATAATCAGCGATTTTGAATAAATAAAATTAAAAAATTCAATGTTGTTTTTGTAAAGAATTTAAGGGTTAATTTCAGTTAAAACTGAGTTAAGTCAATTTATTTCGTTATTTTTGTTTAATTATTTGAATTTTCACTTCTTAAGTAGCAATTTTTCAATCTTAGTGAAATTTTTGCAATTATAGCAAGTTCTTCTAAAATAAATAAACAAATACATATTATAATTTGATATAATTTTTTAGCCTTATTTTTGCTATGATTTAAACAGAGCGCATTAAGCAAAATATTACCGCATTGTAGATCTAAGTACGAAGAACTCGCATATTGAAATACATTTTGATTTTGTGTGAAGTCTATTTAGACCGTTTTTGTTAGTGTGACAGGCATGTATAGAGCTTTCATAATCTCAAGAATTTGACAAATAGAATTTTATTAGTTACAATATTCTATTAAAAATTTTTTCATTGTTAAAATAGATACATGGTTAGGTACATAAGTATAGTATTACTTAAGTTTTAAAATGTTAAGGTATTAGTACTTAAAAATTTATTCAATAATCGATATTATTCAGGGTGAATCTTCAATTATATCAAACAGATAAGATTCTTACAATTGAGAATAATGAACTGAAAGCGTTAAATTAAATTTTCGTAAAAACAAATAACACTTTTTAAATAAACTTTTAAATATTTCAAGTGTTTTTTTGCTTTCATTTTTAAAATGGGAATTGGAAAATTTTCGAAAAATGTGTATTTCATACTCTTTTAGTTTAGAATTATGATACTGCATACTAGTATGCGATGTTTCGAAAATATGTGGACTGATACACTATAAAAAAAAAAGAGTCTGTAATATTATTTAATTGCAGTGATAATAAAATAATTATAATTGAATTTATTTGCAAATTTTCGAAGGATAATTTTATTATTTTGTTTAAAATTATTTTTATGTTAATTTACATTTTTATTTTGATTATAACATACGTAATTCATAATAACATTTCTATAATTGTAAAAAGAATTTTATTTTTTTTTTCAAATTTTATCTGGATATAAATTGTTATTAGAAAAAGTTACACAAAATATGCATATGTCAACATTTTTTTGATACCTTATTTAACTAATTTTTCTTAGCGCAATAAAAATTAACAAAGATTTGTATATGAAAAGAAAATTTAATTCAAAAGTCTGTGCTACCCGTACACGTACCATAGTCAATTACCAAAGAAATACTCAGTACTACTCATTAAAAAACACATATGAATTTGTAATAAGTGTTATAAGTAAATGATGTACAAATATCCACATATTTATAATTTAAAATATATGAATGTGAATATTAATTTTTATCCTAAATTTATTGAACATTTTAGATAAATAGCTAATAATTATGGATAATCCAGTATATGAAAATGATCAATTGGACAATATTGTTCCGTTACAAAAAGATGGAAAAATATTAAAAGATTTTTATGAACAGGATCAATTGCATAAAGAATTTCATTTTATTCAAGCTAAAAAACTTAACGGTACATTACTTGTATAATATCTTAGTAAATTGCAGAATAAATGTAATCTACGTTTTGTTTTAAAATTCATTAATATAAGCATTATTTTTTAAAATTATAGTTTCTGAAGAATTGAAAAAGAAAGTAAAAAAATTTAGTTGTATAAAAATTTTGTCATCAATATTTCCAATAATAACATGGCTATCACAATATTCAATAAAAGATGATTTAATGAGTGATATTATATCGGGTTTTACTGTTGCAATAATGCATATACCACAAGGAATGGGATATGCTCTATTAGCTAATGTACCACCAATTGTTGGGATTTATATGGCATTCTTTCCAGTTTTATTATATATAATATTTGGTACATCAAGACATAATTCAATGGGAACATTTGCAGTTGTATCAATTATGGTTGGCAAAATTGTTATAACATATTCCACAGATTTGCAACATAATAATAACAATAATTTTGCTACGTTGAATAGTAATAATAATAATGAACATATTTTATTGAATGTAGCCGTAAATAAAACAATGATTACAAGTTATGATCCAATATCAGTGGCAGTGACTGTATGTTTTGCAGTTGGTGTATTACAGGTAAAATAACAATATTTTTTATTCATTTATGTACATTTACTCTGTTCAAAAATAATTTTAAGGATTATAATGTAACAATATTTCAAATTAATGTGCTATAACAATTTTCCTTATATAATTTCGAAATAGAAACTATAATTTATGACATTGAAAATAGACACGGCAGAGTTAAAAAAAAACAAATCAACCAATAACATAAAATCATTCTTTGCATACTTCATTTACAAAAAAATTCAAAGTCCGTATAAAAGAGACGCACATATATAGGGTAAATTAAAAAATAACCACACGCTTTTGATGCAAAATGTAACATATCACCCATATAGGAAAAATATCAAAAGTGCATATTAAAAGTATCGACGGTTTTCGTATTAGTTTATTTGATTAATTTTTAATATTCACTATATCTTTTCTCGAAGGTGTCATATAAACCATATATTTTGTATACTATAATAAACTCCAAGCAATTTAAAAAAGTGAAGGCGAAATATAAGAACACGAAGAAAACAAAAAAAAACATCTTATTAAAATAAATGCATCTGTTTTGTTTTTCAGCTCAAAATTTATTTTGTATTTTTTTCTCTTTAATTAAATATTTATTTAAGTTCTTAAGTAAACAATTGTTGCTTCTACATAGGAAATAACTACTACATTTCGTTTAATTACTTTATCTACTTTTTAAAATATAACAACACTTCTCAACGTCATAACCTTATCTTGTAGACAAAACTGTTTTTAAAGGTCTCTTTTATACACCTCCATAAGTACAAAATACAAGTGTTATATTTGTTGTACATATATGTATATGTACATGTAGATATAAATTTTTATATTGCTGAATGTGCCTTCCAAATTGATTTATTATTATTTATGTTATACATTAGTTAGCAGTTAAGGTAGTGAATTGAAATTAGGATAATTTCCGGAGTAGATTTGTAAATTATGATAAATTATCATGTTTTAGTTTTCCAAGTTCGATGTATATACAAAATAACTGAACATGAATAAATTTTATGTTAGGAGTACAATGTTACGAAGTAGGGTTCTAAATTTATATTTAAAGTATTTAAAAATATTCACTGGAAATTTCGACTTCAACGGGCAGCTAATATTTTTTTTTCTTTATTTTTTTCTTTTTTTTTTGTTACACGAGATGTTCCGCCTAACGTTAAAAATAGTTTCAGGCATTTCTAGGGAAAAAAATATATGAATAGAGCTTTAATTTATGTAAAACCATGCCGTGGGCATTTTATAAGCAGTAACAGATAATGCATATTCCTTGATCAGCTCAATTATTTTAAGTAGGATTCTTCTTGTTTTTAAATTACTTCGTAGTAAATTTGATTGAATGTAAAGTCAAGGTATTTATGGGTAATCTTCATTATACAAACTGTCCTTTTTTATGCTTTTCGCTAAATACCGCATCCACTTATGTATACCAAATATGTCATCCACATATTAAGTCAATGCATAAATGCGTTGACAAACTCTACAAAAAACTCAATCCTCCACTTAGAATCCAGTGTTCATCTCAACGTACAATTAGTTAGTTAGACTCAACGTACAATGAAATTGAAAAAAACTCATTACTTTCTTATTGTTCAACCATGTGTTTGTTCACAAAACTTAAACAGGAAAACACTTTTTTAAATTCCGAAAAAGTAGAGATTGCGATTTGTACCCCAAAACTGCACAGCCAAAATTATAGTGACAAATGGTTTTTTCCCCCTCCTTTTCTGAGTTATCGACCATCATACGTATATTAAGCAAATTTTAAAAATATTATAACTATCTTGGTGGTCTGTTGAATATATTTAGCATAGGTCAAACAATACAAATACATTTACATATTCATAATTAAAAATTAATTTTACACCATAATTCTTAAAATTTTTAATGTCATAAATGTAAGTTTTTATTATTGTCTTATTATGTGTCTACATTTCAAACGCTATATAATTTTATGATTAATAGCGCACTAAAAATACGCAAAATCTTAAACATTAATCAAAGTAAAACCTTCAAATCGTAATTAAAATTTCATAAAAAATATTAACAGTATACCTATATATGTAACTGCTACGAAAAATTTTGAAACTCACAGAATTTACTACAATTATTTTGTTTATTAAAATTTAAAATAAGTATTTTATATGTAAAAACTGCAATTGGTACATATACAAATGCACAAAATCATTATAGCCAATTAAATTTTCGATTGTGGCATGTTTTAATATGAATTAATAATATCACTTAAGTCAATTTTCATTCTTTTTTGCAATTATTTGTATACCAAATATTTAGACTAAGCTGGAATTTTTTTTATTTTAGTTGTTTTTTTTTTTTCTTTTTTTTTTGTCATTGAGTTTTATTGAACGTTTTATGGTTTTTTGTTATGTTTTTGCTAAAAATATGTAATTCAAAACGGTTAACTTTAACATGAATGTCAAGTTCAAAAAACAACATAACGTATGTATAAAAATCAGTGTTTAAAAAAAAAACAAGAAAAAACAAAAAACGTGAAACGTGAAAAAAATTTAAATTCTTTTTGTTGGCATACCGCAATAAACGTGGTATCTGGGGTTATTAAAATAAAGGAATCCCCCATTTTAAACGACCCCTATGTAACAAATTTCGATTTAAACAGTTACATTTTTTATGCCTTGCTCCCGTTTTAAATTATAGCTCACCCCTTTATAGATAAACTTTTTTCTTAGTTTTTTTGACATATTTTACCCCGTCCTAAATATTTACTCTTTTTTAAAGAATTTTTTTTTTCAACATTTGGTTATGCCAAAGTTAAACGGGTTTGCCCGTTTTTGACTTTTCGAATATAAATGTTCATGAAAAAGTCATGTCAAAAATATTGTGATACGTTAATACATACATTTATACGCGTTTAAATTTTTTTGAAACAACGCTTTTGTTGCGAAATAAAAATTAAAAAAAAAGTATATGTAATATGCACATAAGCATTGAAAAGTGAAATAAAATTGATTTATAATCATATTATAATACCTTTCCTGTATATAAAAAAAATATTGTTTTTAAAATACAAAATTATCTACGTAGTTCAGACAGCGGAGGTTCTAAACGAGTGTATGGCTGAGTAATCACTATTAGGCCATTTATATACATACATACCTAAATTTGAATACTTTTTTATTTGTACCTAGTTTTAAACAATTTCGATTTAAACATAAACATTTTGGTCCCAAAAATTGTTTAAAAAGGGGGATTCTTGTACTTTTTTTATTAAATTTTTCAATTTCCGTAACAATAACTTAAATTAAGTTAATATTTAGCTTTCGAACTTTTTGTTTTACATTTTTTTTCTCAAAAATTTAAAATAAAAATATTTCTTCTTTCTTTGTCTTACTATCCTGCATATACCGAAAATCTATTTTAGTTGTAATTTTTAAAACTGCGTATATAGGGCAAGATTTATTTATTCTAATATAACTAGAAACTCCTAGCGCGAATCGCACTAAATTAAAATATGTTTGAAAGTATTGCAACAAAATTAAGAAATGAATGTATTTTATCACCTTACATAAATAATTAATTTAATGTAGCAAGGAAAATTTAAAATTAAGTCTAGTATTAGTCGTTTCAGTTGACTTGAAATGAGCTTGAATTTTACGAGTACAATACAAAATATTAAAATCTTGCAACTCTATACGCCTTATCGTTTTGCTTTAGCACCAGTATAATATACATGAATTTAGTATGAAGCTCCGCAAAAATACGTTCATATTGAAATTTAGCTATTATACATGTATAAAAATCGTGTTGGTAGGTTTCGATTGATAGACCTGTATAAGAGTATACCGATACTAGCTGTCAGACTTACCATTTTTAACACAAAATTTTGAATTTAAAAACTGAAAATTTTCCAAAAAATGCTAATTCATTATTTGAAAAAAGCCCGTTATTTTTTTCTCGATGCGCTAAATCTACTCCTATAACTTGAAATACATAACTTTCATGGCACGCGTGCCGTTTTGCATGAAAACTGATAATTTATGTAATTGATAAAAAGTTTCCGTGTATAACCTTTGCTTTAGCTTTAAGAGTTCCGAAACTATAATACATATTCATCGGACAGAATTTATAAAACCGATACTTTTAACCCTCCAAAACTACTCCTACAATTTGTATATTATATACATATAAGATTAAAAATTTATGGTTACTAACGATCATCAATGCTATAGCAAAGCATATGGAAAGTGTTACTTAGAGTATTTTAGTTGTTTTCAATAAACATGCTGCTTTTGGTCCTTGGAAAAAAACTCCAAATCTTCGTTTTCAGGTTTCTTATATCCCATCTCGCTACAATCCAGCTTTCCAACAAACCCATATAGGTTCCTAGCATATTGGACCGCCAGCCTTCTTCACCCTAAATAGCACTCATTTTTACAACAAATTGAATGTTTAGAAAACGATGCGTTTCTAATTTACATATACAATTCTTCATTTCAAAAGACAAAAAAAATCTCCATAAACTGGTTAATAATCAATTCGATGTTCCAGTTAATGATCGTTTTTTAAAATTTATTCGTATTTGAAATGATTCATTTATTTTTTTATATTTTAACTCCATCAAGTTAAATAATTGAGAATTATAAGAAAATTTATTTGATTTTTAACTGGTTCTCAATTTTAACCTGTTATTAGTGCAACAAGAAATTTCTTGGTTTCAATTTTGATTATTTTGAGAATGTTGTTATATTATTTACATAGGAATTAAAAACAAATTTTTTGATTGTAAATAAAGTTGGCCGTGTCAACTCTATAATACCCGTACGTATACTTTTCAAAAGATATTTGTTAGTTAACGAAATAATTAACTACTAATACTTTTCAGAATTATTAAACCTATTACTAAACTTGTAAGTACTAGTTACATACATATTGGCTTTTGTATATGCAATTAATTTTTGAGTTTGAACATTTCTCAAAATTAGAACACAATATGCCTTGTAGATCAAGAGATATGAATAAATGCATAGCTGTTGTTTTATGGAGCTGTATGGCAACTACTGCAAGAATTCCCTTTCAATTGAACGAATTGAAGGCCCTAGGACTTCAATTTGTTTACTATACAGTTACAGATTTCAATTTTTTTACAAGGTGCCAAACAACCCTAATCATTAAATATGATTAGAATTGTTTGAAATCCACCCGAACTATTTCTTTGATTACTCGTAAACCAGAATTCTTAGTGATTTATGAAAATTTGGTTAGTCTAGCTCATTGAGTTTTGAGCAAATATGATTAAATCAACTCATAATTCAATGTTCGTCAAAACCTTGTTGCTTGTGTCTATATCTCGGAAGTCTATTTATTAGCGTTACAAACAGGGTACTCAATTTAAGATTAAACAATTCGAGTTTATGTTCCTCCGGGTATAAGAATTACATACGTATATTCAAACATATATTCTTGAAATGATAATTTCATAAAAACAGCTATAAGTTTAGAATTTAATTTATAACATGATCTTACACAAAACTGATACATACACAAAAATGTAATTTCTTGAAGTATGTATCTATTGATTTTAAAAATTATTATTAATTCAAGTTTTATGTATGATAAATTTATGCTGAAAGTTCAATGTTTTAACACATATCACTTGCAGATGATGTAATGAGTGGTTTTTGAAGTGTTTGATTTGTAAATTACAAAAAAAAGTACAAAAAATTGGAAATTTGCATATAATTTTATTTCAATCATTAATCAATTTTTGTCATATTCCCTAAATATGCAATTTTAATGTTTTTCTTTAACCAAACGATATGACCCTTCCAGATTGTCTTTTTGTATCGCCAAAAAAAATAATCTAGAGGGGTAAAATCGCATTATTACTTCCTTGCATATACAAAACGTAAAATATTTTTAATACATAATCTAATGTCTATTAAATATTAAAAATGTAGGACGAATTTTTAAAAATGGGAATCTCACCATTTTTACTTACTAATTTACATTACATTATAAAAATGTTATACTTCCAAAAAGTTAATAATAGTAAATCAGACATTTTATATCAATTTATCAAAATATTAAATTAGTTTTGAAATTTTCTGTATTTTTAGTTGATTATGTATATATTACGACTTGGAATTATAAGTTCGTTGTTATCGGAAGCTCTTGTATCAGGACTTACAACTGGAGCTGCAATTCATGTTTTAACATCCCAAATTAGAGATATTTTTGGATTAACTTTCCCAAAGCCATCAGGATATTTTCAAGTTATTTATGTAAAGTGATCCTTTCTTATCAAACTTTAATAACCTCTCAAAACTTTTTTTTGTTTTGTAGACCTATATTCGAATTTTCGAAGATTTTGTTAATATTAATTGGATAGCAACTGGAATGTCAACTGCAACTATATTACTACTCTTATTTAATAATGAATTTTTAAAAGTAAGTTTAAAATAATTTTAATTATGTTATGTACATTTTCCCCTTTTCCAAACTCTGTTAAAATGAAAATAATTTTGAAAATTTAATCATAGAAATATGTTTCAAAACGTTCCAATATTCCGATTCCAGCTGAACTAATTCTAGTTTTAGCTGGAACATTGATGTCAAAATATTTACTTCCTGTGGATAGTGTGAGGGTGTTAAACCATATACCAACGGGATTTCCAGGTACTATTTTAAGTCTAAAATAGCTACTTCTAAAATTTACGCTAATAAATTATATTTTTTTTTCTAGATTTTAAAGTTCCAAATTTTGATTTGGTTCAAAAAGTTTTCTTAGAAAGTATACCAGTTGCAATGGTGTCATATGCAATTTCAATTTCAATGGCGTTAATATTTGCACAAAAATTCAAATACAGTGTTAATGGAAATCAAGAATTACTAGCCATGGGAATATCAAATATATTTGGTTCATTTTTTTCATGTTTACCAATATCAGCTTCTCTGTCAAGATCTGTAATACAACAGACAGTTGGTGGAAAAACACAAATAGCTTCGCTTGTATCATGTGGTCTTCTAATTGTGATTTTATTATGGATTGGGCCATTTTTTGAGCCACTTCCGAGGGTATTTATTTTAAATTTGTTTTCTGCTTTTTTTATATTATATTTTGTCATAATTATAGTGTGTTTTATCTGGAATTATTGTTGTTTCGTTAAAAGGATTGCTCTTACAATTGACACAGTTTTTTGATTTTTGTAAATTAAATAAATTGGATGCATTTGTATGGGCCATAACATTCTTAACAGTAGTTTTGATAGCAATTGATATTGGTTTAATAATTGGAATCATACTCAGTTTAGGATGCATTTTAATTGGTAGCATGAAGCCTAATGCATGTCTTTTAGGTCACACAAATGCTGATTTATTTTTAGAAATCGATCGTTTTAAAGGTGTAAGTCCAAGTTAAAATTATAAATCCTTCAATATAATTTTTTAGCAATGTAAGCCAATTTTATTGAGAATTTTAAGAAAGTGTTTTTTTTAATGTCATTGATGTATTTTAATTGCAAGTTTAAGCATGCTTCTTTAAGGGTCTTTTGCGCACTCTTAATTTACACTTCCAAATTTTCAATGTTTTTGATAATGTGATTTCAAATGTAAAATTTAAATTTAATATAAATTCTCAATAATTTTGTGTCAAACTATTTCGAAATAACTATTTGCTATAAAAATTCTTCCTTTTTGCTTTATTATTCATAATAGGCTACAGAAATTCCACGTGTAAAAATTGTGAAATACAACGGAAGTATTAATTTTGCAAATAAAAGCGTTTTAAAAAGTTCTATTAAAACGCTACTGCAACTTGATATTACAAAACAAATTCAACGTTTAAAAAAATCTGAAAATTCTTCAAAAATGCAAATAAATTCAAATAATTTCGATTTAATTATATTTGATTTTTCATCTCTGAATTTTATTGACCACTCTGGTGTAAAATTTTTGAAATCATTGATTGATGATTTAAAATTACTTGGAATCGATGTCTATATAAGTGGTATATCATGTAAGTATAATAGTACTATAATTTAAAAAAAAAATGTTGCATATGTTTAGGAGCTGTATTTTTCATTTAATAATGAATTGATTTCCTAACTTTATTATTGAATTTTAAATTTTTTTTATTTGTAGGTAAGGTCTATGATACCATCAAAAAATCCAACATTATTGAAAATAATGAATTGCCAATATTTCCAACAATTCAACACGCAGTTAAATATAGTAAAAATGTAATGAAATATGTTTAGAAATTAAATTGAATAATTCTTATTTAATAATATTGTTATTGATGATATATTTTTTTTAAATTTTACTAATTAAATGATAAGTAAAATTTTAAAGAAAAAAACTTATTCATCCTGTTTTTCATTGATGTTGAAACTAAAAGAAGGATAATTTACATTACATATATGTATAAACATACATACAAACATACAAGTTAGACACATGCAGCTCTTATTTTTCAATATAAAACTTTGTGTAAAGAATATGTCCTTCATTTAAATATTTTCACATAAATGTTATTATTAATGTAGTAGAATAATTCATACAAGTACGAGTATTTATATATACATATATAAAATATTAGTTTACATATAAATATATATGTATAAATATTAGTTTGCATCCTCTTAATTACCGTTTTCAAAGTTATTGTTTTCATATTTTATGTTAAAATCACGTCACATATTCACATTTAATTTATTATTATAAATGGTTTTTAATGTACGTATGTATAAAATTTTGTTTGAAATTATGTTTGCACTTATGTGCTTACATAGTAAATTTGCCTTACTGTTTGAACGCTGAGAAATAATGCTCTGAGATATAGACTCAAGTGTATGTTTTTGATCAGCATCGAATTCTGAGTTGATTTAGCTTTGTCTATCTGTCCGTCCGTCCGTCCGTCGCAGCAATAACTCAAAAACGAAGCTATAAAAACTGTTATATTGAAATTTCACGCAGGCCAATATGTTTGATAAAAGTCGTTGAAATTTCTTGGCTTCTTCTGGTTCCTGCCATAAAACTTCAAAAGTTATTTGGCTATATCTCAGAAACTATAAGATCTATGGTATTTAATTTCGTACAAACGAATACATTAGTAGGGCCAACGCGTCTGATAAAAGTCGTTGAAATTACTTGGCTCCTTCTGGTACCTGCCATACAACTTCAAAAGTTATTTGGCTATTTCTCAGAAACTATAAAAGCTATGGTATTGAAATTCCACACAAGCGAATATATTAGTAGGGCCGATGTGTTTGATAAAATTCCTTAAAATAGCTTGGCTCTTTCTGGTAGCTGCCGTACAACTTCAATAGTAGTTTGGTACACACAGTGTTTTGAAAAACTGAAATTTTGCATAAATTAATATGGTAATACGGCAACTTAAAGTCATAGTCTGTCCCATAGTCAGTTATGGAATATTTATTCGCAGGTTAAATTCGTACTAATATAAATATTGAAATGGAAATAACGATAATTATGTACATATTACAATGTTTTGGATTTAAGATTTGAATAGATATATATTTAAGTATAACCGAAGGCGAAAAATAGATTTTTGAGAAATTTTTGATTTTTTTGAAAACTAAGGTTTTGGAAATTTAACTAAGGATAAGAGGTTTCAAAATTCGAAAACCTGTGTATACGATAGTAATGTAAATTAAGTAAGGCAGCATTTTTCGTTCACAACACAAATTTAGATACATACTAACAATTTGATTTTGATTTCATATATTTAAATATTATTTTACAGTTTTTAGTAATTTTAGAAACTATGATTTCACAGGAAATTTTTAAAATTTAATTTATAAAAATTTAACTTATAATTATGCTTAATTTTTAGCTTTGTGATTTTAGAATTCTATATCACACATTCTATATATACATTTGACATAAGATATATGTATACGTTAATTTAAAATTATTGTAGTGTAATTTGCAACCGAACCCGTAATCCTCATTGTTTACTATACTAACGGTTAACCACAGACTTTTTTTTAAGTTTTTCTGTTCTACTAAATTACTTCGTTTTTGTTGCTTCAGTTCTAATTTAGTTTTAAGTATGTTCTTGGTTCGACAATAAAGATAGTCAAAAAAATATGTTTGATAATGGGGTATTAGTTTTTAAGAAGTTAGTTTCAATATTTTTAAGGAACGTATTTCAAATATTCGACCTACCTTTTGTAGTATGCATTCATTTTTTTTAGTTTATTTTACAAGAAGAAATGTACAAATGTGAAATGAATTTAAAAATATTTATTTATTTGCACATATTTCTGGTTTTGTCAAAAATTCAATACATTTTATTTAAAAAAAAATTAATTCATTATTTTTTAGCAAATAATTAAATCCATATTATAGTCGTGTGGCAAGATTAAAAGTTCGTTAAATTTTTTTTCTTTAAAAAATCCTATACATATTTTATTCTGATTTTTGTTTTTAACTCATTAAATTACAAATTTTATTTGGTAAATAATATTTTTAAATCATCATTTTCAAAAATACTTGTTTTGTTATTAACTAAATATTTATCAACTCTATCATATATAACACCAGTCATGCCGATTTTTTTCATTTTACTAACAGCTTCCGCTGAATTAATATCATTGCCCCAACAGAAAATTTTTTGATTCAGTTCAATACTTAAATCAATTAAGGTTGGATCAACAAAGTAATCTTTAGAATGTGCGACAATACCCAATAAATTCCATGTTTCTGCATTTGCTACAGCATTTTCAACTGATTCACATCTTGGATCATAATATGATGTCCATTGATGTATGGAACCCTGTGTTAAAAATGTTACAGGATATTTATTTTGTTTATATTTTAACATTGTACATAAATCAGCATCAAATGTTGATAAAAATGATAAGCGGCCACTGCCGTTTTCTAAAATTGCTTTTAAAATACGATCAGTAAATACATTTTTATCTAATGTTTGATTTGCTTCTATGGTACCATCAATATATTTTTGTGGCCATTTTATTTCAATATCAAAACCAACGGCTTTATCAATATTTTTAAAGAAATCTTCAAGTGTTGGAAATAAACGATTTTCAATTTTTATTTCATCATTGTGTGCCTTATATTCAACTATATCACCATCATTTTGTTTATAATACATCTTTATCGACTTTAATTCATCGTATGTTAAGTCGTGTATATTAACTCTTATTAGATTATCTAGCGTGGGTGGTTTATCTACCTTCTTACGTACTAATATAGTAAAATCATGATATATAATTGGTATTAAATCTTTCGTTAATTGTACATCAAATTCAACCATATCGGCACCACTAATGCTAGCTAGTTTCATTGATTGTATGGTATTTTCAATAGCTGATGGCTTTTCAGATTCAGGTAGTTTAAAACTAACACCTAAACCTCTATGGCCAATATCTAAAGCTGTCCAATTCGATTTCCAATAATTTGAAAAAGATGTTTGAAAATGAAAATCTTGATTTTTGAATGGTCTAATTATTAAATAAGATAACTTAATGCTTCCAACGTTTTGTTCTTCTTTTTCATTATCTTCACCCTGAAGACTCGCAGACTTTAATGTTAATTCAATTTCGCCCTCGGAATTTTTTAAATCTTCTGATTTAATATGTTGATAGCCTATTAGTTTTCTATTTTCTGCAGACTCTGTATCGTACAAATTTAATAAAAAGTTAATGTTTTCAAAATTATTACTCAAATGCATATGATAAATTAATATATCATTAGGATTGTACGTAACACCATTCATTGGTTGTTCTTTTAATTCACTTTGATTATATTTTATTTTAGCATATTTTACATTTACATCTGGAGAGGGTCTCGATAAAATGGCGGCATTGTTATTGAAATCATAATTTTCAATTAAATCGGATTCGATTGAACTGTATGGAATTATTGTAATTGGATATTGATCTACATGAAGAGATTTAATATTAAAAGGATTTCTAAAAAATTTAAATTGAGCAATAGTTTCATGTTGTTGTAACCATCCATTATCAATTGATATATCACCATTTATTTCACCAAAAGTATCAATATGGTCTGATGATTTTGATTCAATGATACCTATACTTTGTCCTTTTGACAATTTTTCTTTTCTTGGTTCAATATGATTTTCCCATTCGATAACTGAAATTTTATGATTTTTAGAATTTTTTCTTCCAATAAAATAACGATATTCAATAATTTGATCTTTCTTTTTATCATTCTCATCTTTAAAATCAATATCAAATGTCCACATTTCTTCGGTTTTATGGTAAGATGTATCGATATCAGATCGATTCATTTGAATTGCATCATCTGGATCCCAATTACCTAATTCATCAATATTTCCTGTTATACCGACAAATTCGTTTTGTTCAAGACGTCGATTAATTAAAACATTAAAGTTTTTTGAATATGTTCTAACTACTCCATTATATTCTGACGTTGCTGATCTTTTCACTCTTTGAAATAAATATGAAAATGGATTTAAATTTTCCATAACTTCATTAATATCATTATTAACTTCTTTGATCCGAAATTTTGATTTTAAAATTTTAATATCAGGATCAGTAGAATAAATTATTGATTTTCCTAATGTAGATAACATTAAAACTTTCCAAGGATTATTCTGAATTTTCGAATTTGTTTTTACATCAGGTTTTAAAGTTGTTGGATTTTGACATAGTATCGGATCCGGAATAAATATTGTAACACAATAAAAATATATTAAAAGTTTTGTGTTGCATAATAACCATTTTGTCAATGAATTCCTCATTTAAACTCTAAGATAATTAAATAAAAAATTTTTAAGTTTATTAAATTGGTTTTGATAAAAAAATATAAATTTAGAGAAAAGTTTAGCAGTTGCTAGAGGTGTATTAACAAATAGCCAAAGAATTTCAACTTTTAGAATCAAAATACGAAAGTTTTGCAATGCTAATTTTGAATAGTGTAAGAACGTTACTGTAAGATTATATTGGAAATTAAATGATAATAAAAGTAATTGCGAACTAAACAGTATCTAACCGTTTAAAATTTTAATAACATTTTTGATGCCTTAATAAAGAGTTTTAAACAAATTATTATCAAACAAAATATTTGTAGCGAATAAGGATAGCAACAATATCGGTTTCATATTTATTTAACTTGAAATAATATGTGAACTATAATTGATAATATTAGAATAACACTTAATAAATAATGCAAGATATTTCTTGATATTAGATTATTATTGAATATTTTATTGTCAAATCGTTCAGAGAAAAGTATGTACTTTATATCATATACCAAAAAAAATTCGAAATCATATTTTATTATAGTCCTGACTATATAGAAATGTTTGAGAAGTGCTTAAAACTTTAGTGTTACGTTTTTCTTTGCATGGAGATTAAATTTCAAATATTTTTATTACCTAATATTTAATTAGGGATTAAAAAAATTTCAATTGACGATTTTTATGCTTTAAGCTCTTAAATTTATTAAAAACTCATTTTATCATTAGGTGGCAATAAGTTTGTTTACAATTTGTCAGATAAGGCTTTTGAAATGAACGAGTAATTAATTTTAGTTATAGTATGATTATATGAAGAAAAAACGTGACATTATTACATTCTTTTTATTAAATTTCTATAAAATTGTATTTTTTTAAATTTTATAACAATGAACTAAAATTAAAAAGATTTTTTGTAGTTAGAGATCATTGTTTACTTAATCGTGTACTAGTTTTTTATTACAAGAAAATTAAGTTTTATTTGTTATATCCTTGATCTTTTACGAAATTTGTTGCATACTCGTAAGTAATAAACTTTGGGTATATGTATAGAACCTAAACCTATTCTGTATTTAAAAAAGTTTCATATTTGATGCTCAATACATATTTTATTGGTAATCAATATATTGGTCGAATTATATATTTTAAGTTTTTTTTTTTGTTGGTGGTTTATTAATCAATTTTTTGGAAACGGTCTTTCCAGCAACGGCTGCACTGAAGTCTAGACGAAAGCAACGGAATCTTTTGAAATTTCATATTTGCGATTTGTGTTTGTTAAGGAAGTTGACAAATTTGATAAAATGACCAGAACCTTATTAGCTTTTTAAAATTTTAAATAATTTTGTGCAACAATTCCGCTTTACTTATAGAAACTTATACTTATCCGCTTTACTTATATTATTCACAAAAGACAGAATTCTGCCAACAATGCGGATAAGATGTGTGTCGTTTCTTAATATACAGCACAGCAAAATTAATATACAATTATTTTCTTATTGATGTTTTTTCATCAACAACTCATAAAAAAAGAAAAATATGTGTTGTATATGGAAATAACAATAATTGTAATAAAAAACTTGGTAGAAAAGAAAATAAAAGTGTAAATTTTAAAATCAATAAATAGTTGTTTTATTTCTGTGATGGTAATGTGATAAATAAGATTGGCTCTTAGAGCAATATTCCAAATTAATATTATTTTCTGGATAAAAATTAAAATTATGTAATTCAACATAATATTTTATGGTTGAGCATAAAAAAACCTATTTATAATTCTCAGATCGAAAGCTAAGATTTTTTCTTTCGTTTCATGTAGTATGTTGAATTATTCACTAGTTTTCAGAAGAATTCTGCAGAATTATTTTCATATTATTATTTTTATAGCTGGCTGATCATCGTACAGAATGTACATTATCAATATTATTAAGTTCGTAGAGAATTTTTCATGTAGAATGTAAATGATATTTGATACAAATTATAATTTAAAAACTAGTTCTTAATAGAATATTTTATGTTTGTACTCGCATTTAAGTTCAAATGAATTTCATATTTAAATTCGGTCATATGCAGTTTATATAAATAACTGATAAAGTGAATTTATACTTAAAATATATATGCAATTTTAAAATTTCTATATGCACGTACTGTATGATACATAAACGGTATAAAAATGAAAACCGGAAAGAATACTGAAATTTTCTAGTAACAAAAAAATTTTGTTTTTGCGATTTCAGCTGAAATTTTAAAAACTAATTCAAGTAGAATTATGCAAAAGAAAATTATGTGCTAGTTTTATAATAAAAATATCAAGGTGTTCTCGTATAAACGGTTCATTTTCTTTTGAAATATATTACATGCACATATACATATATAATATAATACATTAATACCTACTATAATTCTGATATAATTATGTTTTAAAGATGAAATTTAATATTCAAGTAATTTATGCGTGTTATGTCATCTTAATCATCTTTAATATCATTATTATCATCAGTAAATTATCGTTAATTATCGTTATTAATAAATAACGTTTTCTATACGTTTTCTATACTGCATGAATGTTTATGTGTTTATATTGTGTACACTTGTTTAATATTACGCTTATGCACAAAATAATTATATGTGTATTTAAAATTAAAAAAGGAGTTTTTTTTAATATAAGTATAATGGTTTGTTTTTGGAAATTTAAGGATAAGTTTTCGAAGAAAAAATATGTGTTTACATAGAAGTGATATTGTACATAAGATATAATGATAATTATTTCATAAAAGATTTAGAAGAGGTAACATATGTCGCAATTCATTAAATGTGTAGAAATTAAAAGATTTGGAAAAATAAGATTATTCATCTTTGTGGTTAGATCGTGGTATTCAATAATCAATTTAAATATTCAAATTATAACATTTTAATATTGCAGGATATACAAAGGTATACTGGTGTGTTTTTATATCAAAGATACTGAAAAGATACATACTCTCCCCTAAAAAGCTTGTTCAAGAAATTTTGTGAGGAAAAAAAAGAGCCTAATGTAGGTTAATAATTTTTACTACACTGTTCCTGTTAAAAACCCTTTGAAAAGAATCGAAAACCAAACCTCTCTGTTAATACTTTTCAGAAATTTAGTATAATTAAATTGAAACCTAAACTTTACCTTAAGATTTGTTCAAAACTTATTGAATTTGTGGGTATTGTTATTTGTTACAATTTTTGTTGTTTCTTCAAATTACAAATTTTTTATGATTTTTAATAAGTTTTATGTATTATATTATTTGATATGAATGGAATTTCCAATATGCTATGTTTGTATATCACAGTTTTATGAAGTAATAATAATGAGTATAATTATATTGGTACTATATGTACATACTATGAAATTTTTTTGTTTTCTTCGAAAATTTCACTATTATGCCGGTAAATTTTTTAAAAATCGATAATTATTCGATCCATAAAAAAATTCACGTGCAATAAGCTTTGTTATATTTATAAAAAAACTGAACATTTTATTTGTAATTGTACTTTAATTTTTTTTTATTAGTTTTTTTTAATTTAGTTGAATTCTATGGGTTAGAAACTAGCAATCATTTAAAGTGGTAAAATTTCAGTAATATTTTAAAGATTTTTGAAAATAAGTCTTTTTAAAAAAAAAATTTTAATAAGTTAAAGATTTAATTTGGAACTAATATTTTTTTCGGCTATTTTAAATTACACTTTTTATTACTAAAAAAAAATTCTTAATTCGTTTACTTAATTTAGAATTAAGGTGCATTTAAATTTTTTATGAAATTCTAATTGAATACAATAATAAAAAATATTTTAGTCTTTTAGTTAATGTTAAACAATTTTGTCTTTTAGTTAATGTTTAGTTAAACAATTTTGTCTAAATTTCTATATAAAGAAAACAAAAATTTCTATGAAAATAACTTATATTATGAACTTTTTTAATCTTTTTGATAGTTTGAATCAATTTCGCACATGATATAATTTTTTTTAGAATCCATTGCTTTCTTTAACACATTTTAACTATTTTCAAACTAATTAGTAAAAATGAAATAAAGTAATAATTAACGGAATTTCGAAACATTTATGTATGTACGGATTACAAAAATATTTCACTGTATACCCGTAATTAAAAAATTTTTAATAATAATAATATTTTAATAATAATATATATTTTTAGAATATAAAAAATTTATTAACTGAAATGATAATATACTTTTAATGAGATTTGGTTGTTTGTTTGATTTTAATAGAATAAACATTAGAAAATTTAAAACATTAATAGATCTTATGAAAACATTAATTATTAAGTTATTTTTAAATTAACAACGTTACTTTAAAAATTTTATCACGAACATTTTAATGTTTCACAATTGAATAACGAAATATCTAATAAGAAATAGCAAAGACTTCAATTTAATTAGCTGAGATAAAAATGTGATAAAAGTTTATTATTTCTAATTTTAATCGTTTCGAAATTTCTATTAAAGTTACAAATTTTATATACATATTACCTTTTATTTAAATAAAATTTGGTTTGAAAAGCAAATTAATTAAGAGAATATAAAAATAACAAAATCAAAAAAAATTTTAAAAATTTCTGAATAGAACTATTCACTTTGAAATCAGATTTGTAATTAAATTTTCACCTATAAAACAATAAACAAAAATCAACTTTTAAGTATTAATCCCCATTATTTACAACCTTAATCACAATCAAAACGGTATTGTTTTGTTAAAAAAATTATTTTTATAATTTTTGCTTCATTTTATATACTACATGTAGAAGAGAACGTTATAATAAAAACATAGACACACATAGACACATTTTAATTAAAATTAGCAAAATAACAAAAATTTTCTCATTTCTTTAATGTATGTATATGTATAGCTTTATAAAATTTCCAGTGTGTTGGTGCAGAACTTTACTTCTCTGTTATTTTGTTAAAAATTAAGATAATAAAATTCTGAATTGTTTCAAAAATTGTGAAAAAATTTAAAAAACAGGTTCAAGAA